TATTGATGGGTCATGGCATGGGTTCAAAAGATTATTCCCACTGTTCCCTTTTGTTCAGAAAACATCAAGAGCGGTTTTTAAGAAGATTGGAATAGAAAGGAAATGACATTACTGATGGGTTATACCCGGTCTGACAGAGCCAGACAAGTGACATCTAACTGGTGGTGCTTATGACATCATGACGCTGTTAAAGTACATTCTTCTTTACAAAGTACATTCCACATGTCGACAAACATCCTTGGGCGGCATATCATGCCTATATATACCTCAGAACAACGAGAAAAAAGTATTTATTCTAATATCATTGTTGTACCCAATATACTCTCACTCAAACATTAATAGACAGACCTAAGGTACCCTGGTCCTTTTCCTAAACACCCTACGCTTATCAGATAGGTTTGGTCTGTATCTATGACTCGGCACAACCCGATCAAGAGTTATAGACTCACCTGGTGACTTTACACCATGAAGCATCAATGCAGATACACATAAGTAAAATGAGACCGATAAAACAGGAGGTAACATAAATTATTATGAAATTGTAAAGTGTTTAATTACATTTACAGAAATCACCCCTCTTAGGCTCTGTGGATTTAGTTTATAACAGATAGAAAGGTTTTTACATGTCAAATGCTATTACTTAAATATGGTTTTATCATCTATCCTTTCATATCCAAAGTTTCTAGCCAATGTAGACATAAAATATGTTCACATTCATTCGTTTTTCAATGTATCGAGAAAATCGTAATGGTCGGTCAAAAAAGAATGCAGGGAGTTTACGTTATATAATACACTGAAACCTTGCTAATCAAAATGTCAATAGATAAGCTACTCATCTCAGATTGAATTTCTTGGTAAGTGTGTGAAACCACATGCCCCACCCAAATGAGAACACCCACTAAAGCAATTTTCTCTTCTTGCTAGTGTGAAGGCAAATTCATATAGAACTATAAACCACAGAAGAATGGCTGGATCATGAAGGTTGCTCTTCAAGGCACAAAGAAAGAATATTCTTATATCATAATGCTTTGTTGGATTTTTGGGTAAGGGTGCAAATCAACATTTAAAAACGACTAAATCAAGATTTAATAGTTCTTTATAACAAGATAATTTCCATATATACTCTTCACTTCTAAAGTATTACCCTCTATATTTGAAATTGTTCCATAATCAGTCCTTTGGACCCAAATATGTTTTTCCAAATATAGTCCACAAAGGATTGGTAATGAAATAATTCTCAAATATAGAATATCACAAGCATCATATATTACAATTGAGGACTACATATGAGAACTCTATGTTATAAAGGACTATTTATAGAATACACTCTTTTTTAATGTTATTGACTCTATAACAAGGTAGTATTTGTTCATACTATTCTCAACCTAATGACGCACAAAAAGTCAATGCTTCTGACTCCGCTGGTCTCGAACTTGGGTTAACTTCCCCTCGATTCATGGGGAGTGGGCAAGCCAGGGGAGAAGTTCTAGAATACACTCCTTAAAAATGCAAGTTACAAAATGCTAAAGCTACTGCTAAATGGGTCGAATGCCATCAACACTACCCACATAAAATTCCCTGTTTGTTTGGGAAAAAAACACTAAAACGTACAGATATGAGTTCACTATAATTTCCTTGCAACTTTCCTGATATTAACAATGGCTATAGAACACTCCATTGTAGAAACTCAATCAGATTCAGGAAAAGGTGAGATTCGTAGAACTAAACACAGCGGTTTACGTTTGAAAACTTGTAAGATTTTTCTTAGGCCAATTAATCTCAATGGAGTTACGCAAATGAAGGATTGAAGATGATAACAATTAACAAGGTATACGACATTTAATAATTGGTTGAAGCATACCTGTGGGGAAATTCAAGCGGCGGGAAGAGCCACTGTTCGGGGTCTCAACCCTGCCTCACCAAACTAAAAGATTTAGCTTGGGCTACTGCTTTTTGACCCGGAACGGAGTATTTTTTTTATTAACTTACTTCTTATCAAAATTTGTACTTCATTTTAAACTTCAAAGGCATACACTGGTATTTTGTGTTAGTATGATGTTCGTGTGATAGTTATATTGAAAAAAATATTAATATAAATTTTTTTTAAGTGAACTAACATTTTGTGTCAGTGTTAACCGTTAAAATATTATTCCATATCTTTAGGTTACAATTGAGGTACACTTTTTTTCCTAGTTATTCTTTTGGACAAAAAAAAGAATTAAAATGAAGTAACACATTTGTACATCAAGCTTTTACAAATCCATAGATATGCAATGTTTGTGCACTTAATTGACATTGCGTGTGTGTGAAGATTTGGTGAACAAATAGACACCTCATTTTGGCTTGCCCTAACATAGCGTAAAAAAATACACAATGTTCGCTTAAGAGTTATGCTTACGTTATTTAAAAATCTTGTGGACTTTTTGGTTTTTTCATGGTGTGACAAATATAAATTTTTTTATGGAAAAAAAACTCAATTTTTTCATGGTGTTTATACACTAAAATATACGTAGTACTCCATATAAAACGAATGTGGATCCAAGAATCAAATAAGAATTTACTTTTGGTTAAATATGAGTGACTTTTTACGGAGTGTTGGCTTAAAAGTTATGCTTACATGATTTTAAAGTGATTTTTTTCCAAATGATCCTTCCCCCAATCATTAATTTTCTAGAGACCAAATACAAATTTAACTTTAACTCTAAAATTAAAATAAATATTAAAAAGAATATTTTCAAAAACATATTTAACAACGATCACTTTATCTGATACATTAATTTCATCGTATCACAAATCTCATAAATTGTACTATCTCGATTCATTAGTTTCTTTCAAGTTACTATATACATGACTGAACTTTATTCATTTTTTACATATTTTCTTTGATTATTTTATAAAATAAAATAAGTCTTGTCGGTACTTATTTTATGGTTTTTTTTATGTAGAGTAGTTTTAATTTTTAAATATACAATTTTTATTTCTAATTACACGCCAATTTTCATATAAAATGAATAAAAAATAATTTCAGTCAAATATTATAACGCGAACTAGGAAAATCTTAGAGGAACGGAGGGATCGGAGTAACTAAGAAACATAAAAAAATTAAGAAATCACCAAAAGTAAAAGTAAAACATTCAGAAAAGTACCAAAAAAATAACTCCATATTTTTATCCTCAAAATAAAAATTTGTACTGTAATAATATGATATGGTATATATTGACATGTTATAACGTATTATGGTATTATACATTAACATTATTAGCATTGTAACTCACATTTTTAAACTACAAACATGACTCATATTTTAAGAAATTCTCCATATTTAATCTTAGTTTAGTCTTTTTTTCCAAAAAAACAATCATGCTAGAGGTACACCAAGTTGTACCACAAAGAAATGCACTGACATTTTAACGATTCATACTGCAGAAAATGTTAGTTCAACTAAAAAAAAGTGTACTGACATTTTTTCAATGTAAGTCATCACACTAATATCGGTGGGGTTCTAGTGCCACTGGAGTACGGTGCCACTGGGATTTTGGGGCACCTCCGATGCTCCGTTCACCAAATTGACGGTTCCTACCCCCCCTAACCCACCCCCTAAACCCCCCACCCTACCCCGCCCCTGCACCTCCACCCCAACCCCGCCGTAAGCCCTCCACAAAATGTGTGGCTATTATTGCGTTCATAATAGCCACACATTTTGTGGGGGGCTTACGGTGGGGTGGGGGTGCAGGGGTGGGGGTAGGGGGGGTTTAGGGGGTAGGAACCGTCAATTTTGCGAACACAGCAACGGAGGTGCCCCAAAATGCCAGTGGCACCGGAGTGGCACCGTACTCCAGTGGCACTAGAACCCCACCGCACTAATATTATACTAGTATAAAATGTGAGTGCATACCTTTGGAGTACAAATTTTGGTAAACAAATAGCTTAGTCCAAAAATAGATAAATAAATTATACTCTTAGGGTTCGTTTGCTACATGAAATTGATGGAATTGGAATTGAATTGGAATTAAAATTCCATGGGATTTAATTCCATAGAATTGAATTCACCAATTTCAATTCATTTTTTGCACTACCAATTCCAAATCCACATAATTTTTGTGATACCAAACACGAGAATTAAAATTGAAGTCCTCATTCTAATTCCATAATTTGAATTCCGTGTACCAAACTGAGCCTTAGGGTCCGTTTGGTATAAGAAATTGGTAGAATTGGAATTGAATTAGAATTGGAATTCCATGGGATTCAATTCCATAGAATTGAATTCTGTCAATTTCAATTCATTTTTTGCACTATCAATTCCAAATCCACATAAATTTTGTGCTACCAAACACCAGAATTGAAATTGAAATCTCCAATTCCAATTTCATAGTTTGAATTCCATGTACCAAACGAAACTTTATTGAAATTCAAAATAGGATTTGCAAAACGTGCCCCTTTCGCTCAGAAAAGGCAGCTCATCATGCGTGCCGGTTCAAGACTTGAGGTGATCGATCTGCCAAACATATATACTGCAGTGTCAAGTTCTTTCATTTCTCGGGCACCCAAATTGAATCCCCGGTCAGGTCACATTATGTGGTCCAAAAATTGAATCGGTACGAAATAGGGTACTCTCTCCGTCGCAATTGAAAATATCATACTCCATTATTTAAAAATTTTAAAACATTTTATTTATTTGTATTTTTTTCAGTAATTATTTGATAAAGAAAGTATTTTTGTCAATTTTTTATTTGTAGAACTTTTGACAAAGTTCTTCAATATTTTTTGTTTATCATTTCTATATCAACACTTAAGTAAAATAAATTAAAAAATTTTAAAAGTTCACAATATTTTACTCCCTCCGTTCCGTTAAACATCTCCGGTTTTGACTTTTGGCCAAAATTAGGGAGGGTTAATTTGGAGAAGACTTTCAATAATACCCCGAAGGTTGCACGTGGGAACCCAAACCCAAAGCAAAAAAATTGATTAAAGTACAAAAGGCAATCATCATTTACTATTGCAAATAGTTAAAGCATTTAATGCTCACATACATCCCACTGCACGGCTGGCATCCTTTTGGGAGGGGGAGGTTACAGACTTGTTTTTTTGGGAAATTTTTAAAATTTCCTCCAAAGAACTTCTAAATTTAGTTCAATAAATACAGCAACAACACCATCTTCCTTGGATTAAACCTTCTCACTCTTCCTCCATAATAAGTTAGCATTAAGTTCACTTTCTTCCTTTGGCATTTATGCCTGCCTCCTCCTTTTCCACACACACGCAAACTGATTTTGAAGATGCTGTCTTGCCACCACTGGTCGAGGTACCCTTTGCGGCAACTTTTAACAGTCCTGAAACAGAAAATTGAAACTACATTTCTGGTGTACATGCAAGAAATGAAAGAAGGAAGAAAGTTATCGATAGGATACTACAAAAATACAAGGACGGCAAACTTCAGCACGGATGTATTAAGTCAGTAGCTAATGACTTCAATATTTCAGATCGTTTGGTTAGAGACTTATGGAGAATTGCTAAAGCTCAATTGGACATAGGCCTTGCTATTAATGTTGAATGTAGGTGGCAAGGAAATACAAGGAAAAAATCTCTGACTAAGGACTTTTCCAAGCTTAGCCAGATTCCTTTTCACTAATGCCAGACCCTAAGTGCAGTAAGTCATTGCTTGAATGTGTCTACTACAACAGCACACAGGTGGCTGAAGGAGAAAAAGATAAAAAGACATTCTAATGTCATAAAGCCATTTCTGTGTGAAAAAGGTAAGTTGAAAAGACTCAAGTATTGTTTGTCTTTTATATCTCCCACATCACTACCAAACCCCACATTTCATCACTGTTATGATTACATTCACATTGATGAAAAAGTGGTTTAATTTGAGCAAGTCCAAAGCTACATTCTACACACTGTCTGGTGAAGATGACCCATATAGAACCACTCAGTCTAAAACACACATTCCCAAAATAATGTTTCTGGCAGCTGTGGGTAGGCCAAGGTTTGGGGTGGATGGTGAAGTTATATGGGATGGAAAAATTGGCATTTTCCATTCACTTTTGAAGAGGCTGCTAAAGGGCTAGCAAAAACAGGCCAGGTGGTACCATGGAAATCAAAGCAGTACCAAAAATAACAAGGGATGTAATGAGATCCATGATGATTCAGCAGTTGCTGCCAGCAATAAGGGCCAAGTGGCCAGGGACAAGCAAGCAAGTTATCATACAACAGGATAATGTTAAACCACATATAGATATTAATGATCCTGAATTTGTGAGTGCTTCAAAGGAAGGTGATTGGGACATTCAACTATAGTTTCAGCCCCCAAACAGTCCACACTTGAATGTCCTTGACCTTGGTTTCTTTAGGTCAATAGATGCTTTGTCACACAAGACTGCACCAAAGTCAATGAGGGAGCTGATCACCAATGTGACCATGTCTTATGACCAACTCACAACCCAAACCTTAAATAATGTTTTCCTTACCTATCAGAAGGTAATGGATGAGGTCCTTAAGAAGAAAGGGGGAAATGACTATAAAATACCACATATGGGCAAAGAAAGGTTGGCCAGGGAAGGAATGCTGCCTGAGAACATATATGTGGATGCTCAAGTCTATGAATATGGTGTCCAGTTCTCAGAAAGCAACACTTAAGGGCCAAAGGACAGTACTTTTGTGTAACTCTTTTTTTGGTTTGTACTTGTACACACGACAGCACACTTTTTTTTTTGCTTTTTGGTAGTGTTTAGTCATAGTGTGTAGGCTTGTGTAATGATGTAGTACCAGATCCTCAATGTAAAATATTAAGCAGGGACTGAATATCAATCATAGGCAGATAAAATACCTCAGAAATTTAGTTTGAAGTTCAATCATAGGCATATAAAGGGCCAGTCATGTCTAGGGACTCGTACCATGGTTGGGTTGCCTCAGAAATTCAGTTTGAAGTTCAATCATACGCATATAAAGGGCCAGTCATGTCTAGGGACTCATACCATGGTTGGGTTGCCTTAGAAATTCATTTTGAAGTTCAATCATAGGCATATAAAGGGGCAATCATGTCTCGGGGCTCATACCATGCAACAGAAACAGAGAATAGGTAGAAAAAATTTCTATCCCACTTAGGCACTCAATCTCTTAGGGGTGGCAAAGACATATTCCTAATTGAGCATAGTAAGCCTCCAAACCTATAGGGGTGGCATTACAGTGAAGCAATTCTCCCATAATTCAAAAAGACTAAGGTTTGCATCATTAGTTTGCCCAAAAAATATGCAATGAAGTAAAGAAGCAAGGACTTTTACTTTAAGAAGACAACACTGCATAAACAACAGAGGCTTGAACCCTTCGTAAATTTTCCCCAAAATCAATATTCATAAACAACAGAGGATTGAAGCACTTTACTTTGTTCAAATCGCATGAGCTTCATTGGACTTCCAACGGGTTTGGCAAAGAAAATCTCTGTATCAGAGGTCATTCATCCAATCTCTTCTGTGGTGAATGAATCAACCTTTGAATCCCCTGATTCCTCTTCTTCCAAATCTGAATTCCACTCAACGCCGTCCGGAAGATGGTCACCCCCAAGGTATTTCTTCCGGTAGTTCCAGGACGGATCGGTGTCTGAAGAATCAGATGCATCAAGGTTGTAGTCTAGAAAACATACCTCCCTCTTGCACTTAGGATGACGCACCTCTTCATCGCTTTCACTTAGAAGGCGAAAGGAAGGCATATCCCAGTCCAGATCTGGAGAAGGAGGGGATGAGGCCATGGAAAATTTGATCGGCATAGATGGCGTAGGTGAGGATAGGGTTCAGGGAAGAGAGAGAGACGACGTGTGTCAGTAAAGGGCTGGGTATGGGTGGGATGGGTAGTCTTTTAGGGCTGGGGGTATTTTGGGAAAAAAGTGTAGAATGGAAGTGTTTTGTGGAAAACAAAAAAACGAAACAGGAAATGTTTTGTGGAACGGAGGGAGTAAATATTACTCCGTACCATATTCTATTTGGGATGAAGAGAATTGAAGATTGTACTTATAACTCCGACTAAAAAGGAAATGTCGTAATTGGGTGTGACAACACGATAGTGAAGTACGATTATACGTAATACTCCTTTTCTTGTGAAACTATTTTCTGATTACGCTTTATCGGATTTATTTTTAATTCAATTTATTAGGATATTATTGTAAAAATAAAATTTATAGATTTATAAAGTATATCAAAAGTTCTATGAAATTAGATGTAACATGACTATATTTTTATCAAATAAATAACAAAAATAAGATGACAAAGTACATAAAATTTGATCTAGTAAATAATGAACGAAAAGATCGATTAGATAGTTTTAAAAACAAAGTAGTACGGAGTATCTGTATATGTATTATTCTGAGAATATAAAATCTTCTTATCTCATACAACCATTAGCTTAAACTTTTGATTGACTTGGTCTTTTAATATTTTACATAATTCATTAGTTTTAAACTAACGCTATGTCCTGTGGAGTATAATATAAAAAAGACTAAATTATGAGTAAAAACTTTTTAAAAAGTACAAAATGAACTTTATATTTTTATTCACAAAACATGAGTTAGTAACAATGTCAATAGTTTTAACACATTAGTTTTGAAATGTTGAATAATATAATGCCAATATTTAGACCATGTTCATCTCCTCAATTTAATTTTTTTTAGTTATCACTTATTTTTATTGGAATCAGATCAGAATATACTAGTTTAGACCAAATCAGATCAGATCCAAACTTATGTTTATCAGATCAGAATCAATCAAATCCGGTGAAGAGAACGTGGTCTTAGTGTCATACTGTCATAGTGTAAACTTCTATTTTGGATTCAAAAACACGAATATCATATTTGGCACTTTCTCTTTTGGTGTGTTTTTCTGTGCCCATGTTTATTGGATTATTACTTATTATAAATAGTTTTTAACTTATAAAATGTTTATAAGTCAAATATTCTTTTGTAAAAGTAAGATAACTTAAATAATAGATAATTCATATAGAAATATTCATAAAAGATGAGAGATAGTTTAGTAAATAATCTGGTCAAAACGAAAAAACTAGTTTAGAAATAAGTAGCTAGGTAAGACTTGCATATTTTTTCTAACTTATTGGCAGTTTAAAAGTAAACTTATAAGCAAATAGAAACACGTCGTCAGCTGACTTGTAAGTTAAAAACAATTTATAAACAGTTTTGATCAGCTTATAAGCACAGAAAAATTCTGACTATCTTTATTCTTATTTTGGACAAGTTCTTGTATAATACTCTGTATTTTAAAATCTGAATTGAATAAAATTTTATTTCATATTTAAGGCATTGGAAAGGGGCATAACACCCTGCGCGTCAACCCACATACACCGTCAGGGCATTAAACATCATCCCCTTCCAGCGTCATACATGCGTTAACCTTGCATTAAACGTTTGACGCATCCTGTTGGCTGCAAACGACCCCCCCTCCCCAACGGTTTAATTTTAGGTCGTTGGCAAATTTTTTTCAACTATAAATACCTCCTTACTCTTTTTTCAAAATAATACACACAACATATTCTTGTTCTCTCAATAATTCATCAAAAAATATTCTATTTCTTTTAATTATGCATAGAAACCACTCAAAAAATGGGATCTTCTCAATCTGACGATGAAATATGAACTCTCANGGGGGGGGGGGTGGCTGTTACCAATGGTGGCAACAAGCACAACAACATGAAGCTAAGCAGAATTATTGTCCCTGCGCTCGACCTGACGTGAGTACGTGAGCGCCTAAACCGTGATCAGACGGCTACACATGAAACACTACTCAATGAGTACTTCAATACTCCATGTTTACACACTGAAAATTTTTAGTAATCATTCTCGGAAGCACCATTCTTAGTTTTTTTATTTATGTTGTTATCATTAAAAAATGTATAAATGTAATTTTTTATACAATAAATTATTTCGGTTTAAATTTATTTAATAAATAAATTCTTATTAATTTACTTTTACAAAATGTGCATTAAAAATAAAAAAATAAAGGTCTAAAGTCTCATGGCTTCAGACTCATTTCTAGTGAAACTGTAAGGTAAAGTTAAATAGGGGTTAAAATTTATTTAAAAAAATCCTAAATAGGATTAAACATAGAAAAATATCAAAATAAGAGTTCCATATTTTTTTCCTAAATAAGAGTTCACACTGTGGTAATGTGGCACCACACACGTACATTTTACGTAATGTAAACGCATTTTAACTCATATTTCGAAAATACAAATATTAAACTCTTATTTTAATATATTTTCAATATTTTTTACTCCTACGTTAGCCTTTTTTCCCGAATGGATACGGAGTATATCAGAGTAGGAAATTTAATGCCAAGGTTAACCTAAAACACGCGACACAGCCACTACTACTCATACCTTTACTTCACTTTCCCTTCCCACTCCCCTTCTCACTCAATCAACACACGCTAAGAATTAAAAGCAGCTAAAGGTAAGGGAGAAAAAAAATTAAAGGAAGAGAGGATAAAAAGAAGAAGATGGTTAGAAGAAACGGCTGATTCTTCATCTCCTCCCACCCGCACATAAATAAATCTCTGCATTAAATTAAATATCGCCCGTCTATCTTTTTCCCTCCCCTCTCTATAATTTTCACTTAAACACCATTTTCTCTTCTGCTAATTAATTAACCATTTCTTCTTCTTCTTACCATCTTCTTTGCAAAGGCCAGACAGACCCCATGAAACCTCCACTTTTGATAGTATTTCTTTTTGGTTCTATAGTAATCACGCTCTTAACCCCCCCTGCTGGTATTTTTCCCTGCCTCCCTTTCTATTAAATTGCTCTTAATTACAGTAATTAGCATCTTTTATATTGTTTTTCGATCTTCTTAATTTTATATTTCCTCATTCAAAAATGTTACAGAGGTTAAAGTAGATGCCAGGGTGGAAAGGAAGACGGAATCCGCTGCTCTCCCGGCCACCACGACACTCTCCCCGCCGGAGGGCAACACGACGTTCCTCGGCGGGACGAGCTGGTGCGTGGCCCGCAACAACGCACCCCAGTTCGACTTGCAGGTGGCGCTGGACTGGGCCTGCGGCTGGGGTGCGGTGGATTGCGGGGCGATTCGGGCCGGGGGCCCGTGTTTCGAGCCCGATACACTCGTCTCCCACGCCTCCTACGCCTTCAATGCATACTACCAGCAGAATGGGAACAATGACGTGGCCTGCAACTTCGGTGGAACTGCCATGCTCACCGGAAACAATCCAAGTGAGTTTAAGTTTTAATAAGATCTTTTGAACTTGGTATGACCCGGGCACTTACAGTGTTCCGTTACTATACTCTCTAAATCCTACCTCGTTGTCCCCCACCTGCCCACCGCACCATAGCACCCTTTGCCCCCTCTCCATTTCGCCGATTAAGGAGATAGAAATCATTAATTTAACGAACGGATTACCGTTACTGTTCCGAGATATAGTATGACCCGAGGTTCCAAGTTTAAAAGAATCGTTGTGTACACTATAATCTTTTTTTAATGATGAAGATTTGTTTAGTTTGTTTGAGTAGTGAAAGTGGACATAGATCGGGCTACACACTCAAGCCCAGGTTGGGGCCCAACGTTTGAACCTTATTCGACAAAAAGAAATGCCCCGATTCTTAATGGATACGTTTTTCAAGCCCAGCCCAATCTCTACATTAATGCTAGAGTTACCGATAATTTGGACAGAAATTTTACAAACATGCTATTTGTGCACTTTTTCAAATGAATAATTGATTTTAAATAATTTTAAAATAAACATTTAAATACACAAATGACAAGTTTTTGAAGTTTGTGTTTAATTTGTTTGTGACTATAACATTACTCTATATGAAAAGTATAATTAATTATTTTCGACATGTCTACGTTGAGACTTTTTTTCATTAATTATGACAATTTTTTTATCATCGTTGGGACAATACTCAATTTTTTCGCAATAAAATCCAATATGAGAAGATTTACATTTCACATGTCGGTTTTTGAATCACAAAAACAAAACTTACATTAGCTTATGCTCTGTACTTCTTGTATTTGCTTATACATTCCAAATTTGATGGTTTGCAGGTTATGAAACATGCACTTACGCAACCTCAGGTCAACACAGGTAATTACTCATTCCTCATTAATACTATGATTGGTTCAAGCTATGTTGGTTCAAATAATTAGAAAGAAAAGAAAAAATTGATTTTCTTTTCTTTTCCTTAACAAATGGGTAAAAAGCTTATAAGATTCTTATATTTTACTGAAAGTGCATCTTAAGTCCCTGAAATATTTTAAGTACTTACTAGGTCCCTATATATTTTTTGAACGTGCTTCATAGGTTCCAAAATTATTTTCAGTGCTTACGAAGTACATATACTTTCTACATGGTGTGTTAATAGTCCCTTCGGTAGCTTTTTTCGGACCAAATCTTCGGAAGACCGTTTGATGTACTTGCACAAATTGTTTGAAAATTTGTGGTATATAGTCATTTTTACAATGACTTGGTTTTAAAAAAGCTACTGAAGGGACCACTAACGCACCAATTGAAAAGTTTAGGGATTTGATAAGGACTAAAAATATTAAGGACCTATGGAGCACTTTCAAAATTATATAAGTACTTCATAAACACTTAAAATAATTCAAGAACTTGAGAAACACTTTCAAAAAAATATAGGGACCGGATAAGAATTTTACCCTTATCAACAAAATGGCAAGAATTTTGTTTTCTTTTCTCTTATTTCATTTTGTATTCTCATTTTCTTTCATTTCTACTTTTCTTTTCTTCTCTAACCAAATACAAAGAAATTCCCTTCCGAATTCTTTATTTCCTTTTGCAATCAATCATTCTCAAAGTTTCTATCTTTGATCTCGAATTAAATAAAAATTATATGCTATATTAAGTAGATAAAGTTTTATTTTGAAAATATTTTGTACAATAAATGTAATAAAAATAAACTTTGTAATTATTTTTAATATCAATTTTATTTTATTACTTGTCAACATTTGTAAATTCTGATTGCAAAAAATCAAAATCAAACAAATGTTCAAGAAGGGAGATAGTAATTTAAAAAATTTTAGTCAAACATTGTAATGTGATTTAGCGGAAAGTGTTGTTGTGAATTGACATTATAACTAATAATCTGTTGTTAACCATATAAACAGTGATGTGAAGTCGTCGGGAGCTGGAGGGCCAAAGCCAAAGGAAAACATATTTTGGTGTGAAATAGGTTGTCTCTTTCTATTACTTATGTATTGGACAAGCTAGGCAGTTATGAAGTTAATAAATCAAAAGAGGGGGCAAAAGAAAAAGAAGAACAAATTTAAAAGTGTCCTTAGTTACGTTTGGGACACTTAAAACATTCTTTTCTTTTTTGATGGTTTAAGAATTTGTGGTTGTCCCTTCATTTTTGCTAGCATGAGTTTAATTAATTAGGTATCTTAATTTTGTTAAAGAATGTTTAATTTTAATCCCCTCATGTCCATCCATTATTAGTACTTTCATTTTCTTGATGGTTTAGAGTGTTAATTAGTCTCTTGGAATGGTATGATTAGATTTTATGCATTATATTCTTTATATACAAATTTAAGAGTTTAAAGCATAAGAGCTTGATGTGTGACATACTATGAGGTATACATATGGCAAAATATGGAGCATATTATGTGGCATTTGATTTATAATTTAGACTCCATTCAAAATTATTTGACATGTGATTAAATTTTTATTTTTTTATCAAAAACAAGATTATTAAAAATAAAAAAAAGTTTTAAAAGTCCTTTTTATTAAATTATCAAGAATATAATTTTTCAATAAATCTTTTATATAAAAAGATTAAAATTTTATCTTTAGATAGTTGACATGTGCATTACTAATGTGGATTTTTACACACATGTCTTCTAATTTAAGACATAAAATATAAAAAATATTTTGGTATGAAATCTTTGGATAAATTTAATTATAAAATAGTTATAAATTATTCTAGCTCATAATTAATTACAGTTTTTTTACATTAGCTGGTAATTCTTTCCACTTTATTTATTCTAACAGAAATTTTTTATTGGTTCACTGTAATTCAAAAGGAAAGTTAAATTTTCGTATCTCATCCATTTGGTAGTTAGCAAAGAGAAACTAGCGGAGTTTGGAAGGATACATTTCAAATTCGTGATCTTCTAGCATATTTTTTTTATAATTTTGTATATTTAGAAAAAAACAAATATGTATTTAAGTAATAAGTAAATATTTATTTTGCTCATATGTAAGTTCATAATAAATCTTAAGTCTAAAATAATGATTGAAAAACGATACAGAGTAATTCTGGTAAAAAGTAGAATGAAAAAGGGTGATTTAAATTTGAGGATGGAATATTGATTTGATATGTTATAAAGTAAAATAAAACTAAAAATATGAAGTTTCTAATGGACAAAATAAATAGAAATTAAACTTAATATGCAATACAAAATTGATAGTAATTGATAATTAAAATTTATTTAATTGATTCAAAAAAGTCAAGTTAGACAAGAAAGTATTTCTCCATTCGGTCAATAACTATCTTCCTGTTGCGCTTACGATGTTTGACCGAAATTATTTTTAAATTATTTTATATGAAAAATGGTATGAAATTTTAAAAAAATTATATGTTTAAAAAGTACACCAAGAGATCTACAAAACTAGAGGTGACATGACTATATTATTTTATACAATGGGCAACGAAAATAGACCAACAAAGTAAATACAGTATGAACTTGTAAATAATGAATGAGAAGATAATTGTTAGACGGAGAAAATGATTTTTTACTTTTTTGTGTGTAATAATTCCTAATAAGGGGCTTTGTATTTGGACCAGTAACACTATCCATGTCCACCTTGATTGGGCTCTGAAGTTATCATTTCGATCCAACCCGACCAGACCCATTGAATCAAGAACTGATCCCTCATCCAAATCTCATCCACCACCCTCCAATGAGGGATTGCCATGTCAGCAAACGCAAATCCATATATCAAATTTGTACAGTCAAAAAACATTTCCTTCTAACAAACCCCAAAACTCACAAACAAAAAAAATCACAGTTCATTCATTCATTCAAAGAAAGAAAATGGCAGCCAGCAGCATGATGATGATGAATGGCACTTCTCTTACCCAGTTTAATGGCGGACTCAACCCCATGGCTTCCCCTATGACTATGAGGAAGAAGACGAGTTTGGTGGTCAGTTTCCCTTTCTCCACTTTTAATTCCACGCTCTGAGCGTTTGAAGGGTTTGATCTTCTCTTCTCTTTTAATGAACCATTGATTGAGTAAATGTACTATTCAAATTCAGAGTTTAATTAAAATGTTGAAAAAAGTAAAAGAAAAAATTAATAGACCTTAGGTGCACACTTTTGACTCCAAGTTCAAGGACGTGGGGGAGGGAGGGATGAGTTGGAATCGGGACTAGGTGGGAGTTTTATCGTGGATAGGAGTTACCAATTTTACGAGTGGAGCACTGTATGTGTAGTCGGTTTCCTTCGAAGCCACTCACTTTGAGTGGCTCTAGAACCCCGCTGCAAAAGCATTCCTATTTCACTTTCTTCGGACACCTGCATTCAGTGTCAACGGATGACACTCGTCTATTTGGAGCTCCTTTCGTTCATAAAATTAATGGTTTCTATTACCTTAAATCCCACCGTACCCCACTCAGCTCGAGCCCTGCGTCCCCCTCTGCCCCTCCAAATGGGTGGCTACTATGTGGGGGTGCAGGAGCCGGGCTAGAGTGGGGGTTGCAGTGGGGGTGTAGGGGTTAAGGACCATCAACTTTGCGAATGGAATACCAGAAGAACTCTAAATGGGTGATGAGCAAGTGTCATCCGTTGATACTGGATGTTAGTGTCAGCGAAACGTTACCGATTTCACTCATTTTAACTTTCATTTGGGAATAACGTTTTTTATATTAACATTAGTGTTTTACATAATTTGGAGATCGACATAAAAAATGTCCAATGCTAAAAGCTACCTATGAATATACGGAGTATACACTTAGCTAATGTCTTGTTTGTTTTAAACTCTGGCTTAAATAATTTAATTATTCTACTCACGGGAATCTGATTTTCAAAATCAATCCATCAAATCTATGATTCTCTAGAATCAACAAAAGAACCAAGCCATTAATTATCCAGGATCAACAAAAGAATCAAGCAATAATTCTGGGAATCAGAATCATCAAGCAAAAATCGCGATAACTGATTATAAGCAAAAAAGAATCTGACTGACCCAATGCTTCGTCTTCATTTGGAAATACTCCGTAACATTTATCATTAGCGTTTGTATTTTAGATAATTTTATAATGTTGCAGATTAATGTAGAATGCACTAAAGCTAACACTAACGTACGCTTATGAAATAAAGGCATGTTGTCAACAACGTTAGATGTTGGAGTTAACACTTTGAAAGAATTATCTAATGACAGTATTTAGATTTAACGTTTTCAAAGTTAATACGGAGTACATACCATTAAAAAATTTATTCAAAATAAAGATGAGTATCGATAAAGCAACTCCAAAATAACGCCTAAGTTTAGCTTGTCTTTCTCAAGGAACAAATTAAACTGATCAAACTCAACTAAACCCGAGTTGCGGTTGATGTTCGAACACATAACCTTTAGGTGAGTCAGATATCATGTCAAAGACACAAATTCAACAAAAAATAAAGCTTGCAATTGTAAGCCCAAGAGACGGTTTTTATACTCTAACATCTATTATTCATGACTTGAATTACCATCCTTAGCTATAAACTTGCTTGAATAAGTTTTGTTTTGGCCATATATACATGGAGGCTGCCGGAAAACGAATGAACCACTGCAGGGGACACGGTGCACTGGGAGTTCGTTGCGAGTTCATCGGCTCACCCACCAATCTGGTAAAATAACTTATAACCGAGACTGAGGTGACACCGAGTTTGACACCACGTGTTTCACAAGCTAGCATATACAGACAATCATTATCTGCGACAGATGATCGCTGAAACAAACGTTGTCTATGCATGTCTTTGAATAATTTGGTGTCAACTTTGGTGGGTTTCTAACATTTGTGAATAAGCGATCCCGCGCGATTGAAATATAAAGTTTTTTTTACCTGTGAATAATGAATGAATAATGAATGAACAGATAATGGTGACATCGACGAGCCTAATGCTATTTGCGGGGAGGTTCGGATTGGCCCCGTCAGCGAACCGGAGGGCGAATGCGAGCCTGAGGCTCGAGAGGTGGGACTCGGGGCTCCAGACCGGTGACCCGGCCGGGTTCACGCTGGCTGATACCTTAGCTTGTGGCTCTCTTGGCCACATTATTGGGGTTGGAGTTGTTCTTGGCCTCAAGAACATGGGCGCCATATGATACCAATACATTTTTCTCTATCTTTTTTCTTTTGTTTTGTCTATATTTTTTTTGAATTGTTATTTATGGAAGGAGAAAAGACATTATTATATGCATCTTTCCTTAACTATGCCATTCGATTTGCTCCTTTTCGTATTGGCCTGTTTGAGTCTTTGTGATATACAATTCAATAATTCATATTGAACTCCCTCGGTTTTTTGAATTATTTATTTTAATTATTTATTTGAATATTTATATGAAAATAAATACACTACTTATTTATTGTACACAAACAATAATGAATGCTCCCTCTGTTTACTTTCGAAATGTGTTCACAAAATTTACAGGTTTCTTTATTTTGAAAAAGTAAAGAATATATGATGCACAATTCTATACTTTCTCTTTAATAAATTTCAGTCAATCACATTTTATTTTTCAAAATTTATTAAACTAGGATGAAGGGAATATGTTTTACTCTGATTTTTGCTATTAGTATATTTTAAAATATACTATCTGTGTTTTCTAGTATATATGTCAGTATTTATTTTTTGAATCAAATTAGATGAGTTTTAGAATTCAATTACTCCATAAATAAAATATGTAATGCATATTAGCATAAAAATAATTTGTTTAATCTTGTTGAAATTTTTTATATTTATTTAAACATATTAATATACAATACACATTAAAATTAGTTATTGATGATGAAAGTTCTTATTTAATTTGAAAAATTTAAATTAGACTGATACAATATGATAGGAGGATGAATTTAATCTGTATTATTGATCAAATTAATGTTTGATACAAAAAAAAATGAAACTATAAAAAAGAAAACAGAAATAGGGAGTGGGATATGCTGTAAAGAAAAGTGCATTCAATATTCGAATAAATGATACCTTCAGAAAAAAATCGAATAAATGATGAAAAAATAAATGAAAAAAAAATCACATTACCGTGCAACCATTCGGATTCTCATCGCTAAAATAGTTATACTGATACGTCTGGTAATAACCATTTGATGGTGGCGGCGGGGGCGGACCCTGGTAGTTTCCCGGCGGCGGTGGACCCTGGAAGTTTCCCGGTGGCGGCGGAGGCCCACAATGGTACTGGTGGGAGCTGTACTCCACCGGGAGCGGAGTTGAAGGGTGTGGCTGGCAGTTACGGGCGTTGCGAGAATCGTGGTGGAAATCACAAGGGTAATCTCGGAAATTCACCTTATATCCCCTTGCCACCGTCATCTCAATGTTTTCCAACCTAGGGATCCTCGAAAGGTGTTCGATCCCGTCCCAGTATCCTCTCATGTGCGCCGGCGGCGCTCTGAGGTTGAACAACGGCTGGCCGTGCGGCGGCGGCGGCGACAGAACTTCCATCTGTGGCCTATGCATGATTTCCATAGGTGGCTCCATTTGCAGCTGAGGCGGCGGCGGTGGCGGACGTGCGGCGGGTTCCTGTACCGGCTGGGGTGGCGGGGGTGGAGGCGGTGGTTCCGCTGCCTTTGCCGGTGGAGTTTGCGGAGGCGGAGGCGGCGCCGCCGACTTCGAACAACAAGGACCCTTCATGCAACATCATGAGACACATCTAATTTAACTTTTGCACAATTTTTTTTAAAAATCAAGTCAAAATTTTCAGATCCTTCGAATGTTATAATATAAAAAATTGAATTTCTGAGAGTATATGCAATCTTGAAATATTTACATAAAATCTTAAACTTCTGAGACCATTAGCATAAATTTTTCCAATTTTTAACAAGAAATTAAATAAACAATTAGTTTATGCATGATTCTTTTTCTCAAATTAACGCATAAAGTAAAGCAAAAATCAAACTACTCATAAAATAGTTACATTGAATTAATTAAAAAGAATTACATACTCTGCATTTGAGAGGACGAATTACTGCAGGATCCATGGGCGCAAGAGGAGAAATATTTTTTAATATTGTTTAGTTAAAAAAAACTATATATACGGATTCCATATAGTACGAAAGGGATATGAGAAATAATAGTGCTATTTAGAAATTTGGTAGCCTTGGTATTTAAGGAAATCCGAGTAAAATTTTTAGATACAATAATAAGTGATTTGATTTTATACACTCCCCATTAAAATTACTCCATCTCATAAAAACAACTATAAACTTGACTTTTATGGAGTTCACAAAAATGGGAAACAAAACTGTGTATGGTAGTTCGAATCTATTTTGGTTGAAAGAGAAATTTTATGAAATACACATAATTACTTTTTAGAAAGAAAATAAAAGTCACAGTCAAATTTTTTCATCCAATTTTTTTCCTAGTTTCGATTAAAAAATGAATTCTACCGGACTATTTTTTAGAGTAAATTTCATAATTGATCTTTTATAACAAGAAAGCTTCTATATTTGGTCATTTATTATCAAATTTTACTTTCATAGTCGTTTAATGTACGTTTTTTTCAAAAATAATCTTTTTTAAATCTTCTGTTATGTTAGTGTTAATTTAAATGGAAAAGTATAATTTAACATTAATTTTAAGTTCACTGACGTATTCTGATATTGGTTAGATGAATAACACAAAAAAATAATGACTATGATTGTAACATTTTTAAGCTAAGATTTTAACGAAAGACCATAGCTGTACACTATGGTAGTAGTATAAAGCAAATGTAATTCACAAATGACACATCAGGGATAACCTTTGGAATTGTCTATGAGAAAAAATATATACTATCATTGTGAAATTATACGTTTAGCCTTCAAATTAACGTCAACATGATAGAACAAAAAAATTATTTGTGGAAAGATTCACAAAGAAGGACCAGCGAGGTAATATTTGATAATAGATGATTAAATAGGGAAACGCTACTATTATAAATGACCAATTAGGTCCCATTTGGTATATGGAATTCAAACTATGGAATTGGAATTGAGGACTTCAATTCCAATTCTGGTGTTTGGTAGCTTAAATATTATATGAATTTGGAATTGATAGTGCAAAATATGAATTGGATTTGGTGAATTCAATTCTATGGAATTGAATCTCATGAAATTTCAATTCCAATTCAATTCTAATTCCATCAATTCCGTATATCAAACGAACCCTTATGAAATTTACTCTAATTTTTTTCATACATATCACATCATAGTTATTCAATTTTAATTTATTCATCACATTACTATTTTTATCTATATTACATCATGTCTAATTTGAGAACGTCAAAATAGAAATAATTTTCCCTTAAAATTTATAATTAAAAGACAAAAGGAGAAAGAGACTTTACGACAAATAAAATATTACATAATTAAGAAACTTATTAACAAATCATAAAAATAGTAGTACACACTTATCTCTAAAAAAAAGTAACATATTTTTATTTCCAAAATAGAAAATTACACTATGACAACATGACATTGTGAATTGCATTTCACAATATTTTTAGTAATATATGTTGATATTATTGGTTTAGAAAGTGCAATTCTCTCTTATCATTTTCTAGATATTTTCCGTCAAAGAATGGGTGGTGCCACCTATTTTTCAAACCACATGGGAGGCAATAGAGCTCTTTTCTCATTTTTTGTTTGCTTTTTGGTTTTTCCTTTATTTGACACTTTTTTTCATCTCTTTGTTTCCTTTTCTTAGAAAATTTTTAAAAATTTATTTTCTAAATTTTTTATAATATCTTTAAAATTCAAAATTGTTTGTGTTTGTAATAAAAAAAATGAGAAAAAATTAACATGTACTCCATTTACCTCAAATTTAACATTTTTAATTTTTTGTTTTTTGGAATATTGAGAAGTTCAAAAAAGAATGTCTAGAATAAAAAAATAAAATTAAAAATATAATAAAACGAAATGGAAAAAATTGAAACATACAAAAAGAAAATATTGTTTTACAAAAAGAGAATTTTTTGAAAGTATAGAAAAGTCCGTAAGATTGGAATGTCCAATATTATGAAATGTCAATATATAGCGTAATATTATCACTGTACAAACTCTTATTTCAGAGTTAAAAACATAGAACTTATGTTTTTGATACTTTCAGTATGTCTCCACATTCTTACCCTGTCGATGCTCTCGTCCCTTTGCTGCCCTCAGCCTTTCTTCGATTTGTCTCTTCTCCCTTCCCTCTAATGTCTTCCACGAGAAGCACTTCTTTTCGTGGGAGTATTTGTGGGCGAGGCAGCTTCCACCCTTAGTGGCGGATCCAGAACTTTAAATAGTTGGGGCCTTTGGGGCACAAAAGGTCGGGATTTAAGGGAAGTGTCTAAGTTTTATTTAATAGACAATTTAAAATAATAAAAGAAAAGTTAAAAATTTTATTCAATTTTTTTTTGAATGTGAATTTTTGAACAAATAATTTAAAATTTTATTTTATATAATTTTATTTATATACATTGAAACACACTTTAGTTGGGGTCCCTTCAATTTTAATTGGGGTCAAATAATACATGAGTGTAAAAATTAAAAAAATTAACCTTAACATCCAAAAATTAGTTGGGGGCCATTGCGCCCTACTCCTAACCTGTCTACCCTTCTGTCTCTAACCTGTCTTCGAAATACCCATCGACACCGGTTACCCCCGCTGATATTCAATACTAAAGCTGCCGACGAGGAGGAGAGGGCTGAGCTTGGTGGCGGAGGATGTGACGAAGCGGCGATGGTTCCCCAGACGGAGGGGAGTGCAGTGTCGTACGGTGAGCGTCCACGCATCATCACCAAGTTCGATTTGAAGGGGTAATACAGTTTTTTTCCAATATCTCCCTTTTATTTTTTATTTTTTCAAAATTTACTTGGTTTAGTCAAAAACCAATCCTGGATACCATCAAGGGCATAATCAAAGGGAATTTTCACAGGGCCTGGTATACCTGCATCACAGCCTCGAAAGAAATTTGTCACCAATGGTGGAACCTTTTTTGGGTATGATTTTAGTTTTTTTGGAAATTTTTGTATTATTTTTAAAATTATATTTACAGCTTCGTTACTCATGGTTGCCCAAAGTTGTGTCGGAGGACACGGACAAGGCAATTAAGAAAGCCTTCAATGCCCGTGGCTCCACTTGGTTGCCGAAGAGGTTGATAAATGTCCGAAACAAATACAAGAAGCCAAGTTTTGTGGCACAAAATCACTTGGAAACCATGGCAAACTATTGGGAGAATCCTGAATTTTGGGCAAAGAGTGAGAGGTCGAGCAAGAATCGAAACACAAAAAAGGCAAAGCAGAGGTAATACGTACTATGGTGGCTGGCATTCTGTGACTAAGCATATAAAGAAGATGGTAAGTATTTTTATGTTTGTTTTCTTGATTATTGTGTCATAATTTTATTAATTTTTTTAATAAAAGCAAGAGGACAATGCCACTCTCAATTGCATCAAGGTCATCAACCAGTTGTTTGTGAAGAAGGGATCTGAGCCATCTCATGAAGCTCTTCAAATCAAGGTAGTTATTTTTTTTATGCTCTTACTATGTATTCTTTACCTTCATCTTTAATGAAACTTGACTTGTTTCCCTCTTAAATTATGTAGAGAAACTACAAGGAGAAGCTCATTATAAAGCAGCAGGTAGCATCTGGATTGGGTTCCAATTTCCTACATTTTGATGACATTGATGAGGAGGAACTGGAAGATTACCTTGGCTTGTACACGGAGGTGGCGGGAACAAAAAAATAGGGTCTTTGGGAGGGCGTGTGAAGCTGGTGCTTCTCGTGCATTGTCTTGGGGCGGGACTAGCTACGAAAGCTATACTGCCCAACGAAGAGCGAAATGGAACAAAAATTAGAGAAGAAATTTGAAGAAAAGTTTATGGAAAAAAGTGCCGATCTTGAGAAGAAATATCAGGCTCAATCCAAAAATTGTTAACTAAATTTTAGGGATTGAAGGATTCAGTCATTTTTTTTGACCCAAGGTCTGTCTTCTTCTCAAGTTCGGCCATTAATGCAGCCCCCGAAGCCCAAGCCCTTTGATGAATCGGCATCTCATCCCTGCTTATTTCTATGCCTCCCAACCTCTCATGCCTTCTATGCTGGTGTTTCATGAATCTCGGCACTCCACAATCCCAAATGTTCAAAATTTATCTAAAGAACATAACTCAATAAATTATGATGTTGATAATTTTTTAAATACCTATAATTTGTAAAACTTTATTGTGATTTGTGTGATGCATGTGATTGACATTATTTATTTATGATATTCGGATGATGATGACTATCTTAGATGTGGACTGTGGAGGACACACTTATTTTTTAAATTTAATTACCTAATTCTATTATTATGATGTGATTTATTAGGTGCTTTTAGTGTTGTATAATTATATTAATATCTGCTGATTTGTTTTTAAAATTATTTTTATTTTTAGGCACAGATATGTTTGTGACAAAAATATTTGATTTTTCAAATTTTTCCGAGGGTCGAATTTTTTTTCAAAATTATGTTAAAATACAAGCATGGAATGGTTCGTGCGTATGATAATGTGTAAGGTACGGTATTGCGATGGAAACGGTCATTGCTTTGTCATGGCTATGTAAGAACAAATATTTTCCACGGAAACGTTCCATGCCTATGTATCACGGACACTTTCCGTCGTTTTGGCGTGTCTATGTAAGAACTCCGTTTGGCTTGAGAAGATTCTGACTCATACTTCACGTACCTTCTTTCAGTTGATGACCTCTTTGTAGATTCCTACCCACAAAACTCTTCATTCCAAGAATGCTAACTTGGGGACTTACATTCTTGAGTAATTTAAAACTAATTTGATTAAACCTTCTTGTTTATTCAAAACACAATCTGCACAACGGTTCGTTGTCTCAGAATCTATATAACCAAACTTGGTTGAATATAGATCCTTGCCGGTTGGCTCTTGATCTGCTCTGTGGCACAAACACAACAACAATAATCTCTGTGGTGGACCTGGAACGTATTTGGTGTTGTGTGCCGTCAGTTTTTGGACGGCGGCTGCTTCACACGCTCAAAATTGGGACGGCCGCGCGTGGTGAGACCTTTGCTTCTAGGCGGTCGTGGGACCCGGGGTCTGGAAACTTCTTTGTACCGTGACCTTCGCTAGGACGGCGACGATGATCTAGAAGCTTTATGTGGCGGCGATTCTCCTTTGTTCCTGCGGATCTCCTCCACTGCGCACTTCTGATCAAAAAATTCAGTAGTGTTTCCCCTTTTTCTTTCTCGCACAACCGATCAACAAAAACAATTTTTTAAAATTATTTGTGCTTTGATACCAATTATTAAATTTTAAAGTATTAAATAGTGAGAATTAGCTTTTATCATATGAGGAAAATAAACTCAAAACCTAATACAATAACACTTGTATCTAGATCTCATATGGCTTTTATATCAAAACCCAAAGTTTAGCTATGATATATATAGTATTGACCCAACTTGGTCAATAACTAAGCTAATTAATCTTAGGACCCATAATTTTATTCCTATTCTAACTAGAATATCTCGGATAATTCTAATCCTACTCGATAATTAGCCAACACCCCCAGTCCTAACTAAAATTGCTATTAAAAAATACATTTTATTAAAAAATTGGTACTTAGTTAAAAAAATTACAAATTAAAAAATAAATTAATTAAAGTGCGTGATAGAATATTGAAATAATAATATTACTTAAGAATAATAAACATTTAAAGGCTTATTTTTAGAGTTTAACACTTTTTAAAATAAAAAAAATTAAAGAATTCAAGTGTCTTAGGAGACGTTTGGTTGGAGGCGAGGGAAGGGGATGGAAGGGAATCTGAATCTTTCTCCTTGTTTAGTTTAAAAACATGAGGGGGAAGTGGACTCAAAATTTTATTTCAATTTCCTCCACTCCCCTCTAAATCAAATCCTCCAAATCGAACGAAATCTCCTTCCCTCATGTCTTTCTCTTCTTCTTCTGTCAGTTTTTTTATCACATTGCCATCAAACAAATGATATATATATATATATAATAAAAATAATAAAACAAAAGATGAAGAAATAATCAAATAAAAACAAAACAAACAAACAAATAAAAATAAAATAAATCATAATAAAATTACAAACAAAAGTTAATAATAACATAAATAATTAATAAAATAAATAATAATAAAAATAAATAAGTAAATATTAAAAATTTTAAAAATTAAAATAGAAAGTAAAAATAATAATAAAATAATAAAATAATAAAATGAACAATAAGAATTAAATACAATAGATATTTATAATAATAAAATAAATAAATCAATAAAAAATAGTAAATCAAAGTAATAACAACAACAATGACTACCAATAATTTGGATCACACGTAGTAATAAATAATAAATAAAATAAAAATAATATATATAAAAGTAAATTGATAAAAAACTAAAAAGTTAAATTAAAAATTTTAAAATTAAAAATTAAAATAAACAGTATCAGTAATAAATTTTAGAAAAATAGATTTAGAAAATATATAAAAAAATATAAAATATAAAAAATTGAAAATAAAATCTTTCCTTACCCTTCCAACCAAACAAGGTGAAGGAAATTCTTCCCATCCCTTCACATTCCCTCCCATCCATTCCTTCGCTACCAACCAAACAAGCCCTTAGAGATGGAGGGACTGCCAAGTAAATCTACAAGGATTCAAGGAAATGTATTTGCTGATTTTTTTTAAAAAAAATTTAATACTCGTATTCTGAGATCCCTCCTTGGCTTGACTTGGATGGTAGGAAAGTCATTTTTTTAGTATTAAGAAGAAAGTTCATTCAAATTCGAGTTCCAACGGAAGTGTTGAATCTTGGTACAATATTAGATTAAAAAAATATGAACAAATATTATATTGTAATAAAATCAATAACATTCAAAAAAATAAATACTTCCTCCGTTCGAAAATATTTTTCCCTGTTTGACTTTTCTTGGTCAAAGTTTGTAAACTTTGACTAAGATATGCAAAAAAATTACATTGTATTACAATATAACTTTAATATGAACATATTCATTTTGAAATATAATTTTCAAATATCAAATTTTTATAAAATATATATATATTCATGTATAAATAAAGATATTAGTGATCAAAGTGCAATCTTAGAAACCGTAAAAAGTCAAATGGTAAAAACATTCGCGAGAGTATAAAAAGAATACTCGTAGTCCGTGATTTATATGGCTAGGTAAGAAAGTCTATAATACTCCGTAATGCATTTCAAATGCCACAGATTCAACAAAGAATTAAGATTGAGTCAAACTAATCTCACCTACCCTCTCTTAATTAATAATTACTGCATTAGGTATTCCCTAAATCGCTCGGCTTGACCGACTGATCCCTCCTTCTAGATTTCTAATGAGTGATTTGATTTAAATTGATACTTTTATTAGTCTTACGGCTAAATAGCGTCAGTACCCCCCGTGGTTTGCAAAATAGGCACCAAAATCCCCTCTGTTTTCTAAACTTATTTCAAAAGTCTTTGTGGTTTCAAAATGCTGCACCCGTGCCCCCTCTGATCATTTTCCGGCCATTTTTCCGGCGAAGAAGGGGGGCATGGCTGCATATTTACTAAACCACAGGGGGTATCGCTGCTGATATTTATTTCTCGCTTATTTTTTTGTTTTTTCCATTTCTTCCTTTATTTGTTACTTTTATTAATAAAGGTTTTTTTAAAATTACTTTTATAATGCTCATAAAATTTAAAGTTATTTTTGTTTGAAAAAATTACTCCCTCCGTCCCAATTTAAATCGTCTGTTTTGATTTTTGGGCATATTTAAGAAAAATAAAAAATATAGTTGATTTTCCGAAATTGTCATTACTTTTTAGAACGGGTGATGATGAATGAGAAGATAAGGTGAAGAAGAGTGACTTATTTTAGGGATAGTTTAGGTATTTTATTTTTAAAAGTTTACGAAAACAACTAACAGACAATTTATTTTGGGATAGAGAAAAAAGGCAAACAAGCAATTTAAAATGGGACGGAAGGAGTAACATATAATGTATATTTACTTCTCAAATCAACAATATTTGTTTTTTCTGAAAAAAGTAAACTTTTTTTTGGAGAATTTCAAAAAAATGACGAATAAAATAAGAAACAAAATAATAGAAAAATAAAAATGAATATCTTCTTCGAACATCTCAATTCTAAGGACTTTTTTAGGCTTGTCCATTTTTTGTATCAGACTTTTTTGTGTATTTTTTATTTTTCATTTTATTTTTCCATATTTTTATTTTTTTATTCTAGGTTTTTCTTTTTGAACTTTTCAAATAAGCACGTAACAAAAATTGAAAATGTTTAATTTCAAATAGATGTAATGTATGTTAATTTTTTTATTTTTATTTCAAAAACAAAAAATTTTATAATTTTAAAACATTATAAAAAGTTGCAAATAAATTAGAAAAAAAACTAGGAAAAGACAAAAGAGATAGAAAATATTTAAAAAAAGAAAAATACAAATAATAAACGAAAAATAAAAAATGAGCACGAATACCCCCTATAGTTTAAAAATTATGAGCAAATGCCCCCTCTTCGCCGGAAAATGGCCGGAAAATGATCAGAGGAGGCACGGGTGCAGCATTTTGAAACCACGGGGACTTTAGAAATAAATTTTGAAAATAGAGAGGGTATTGGTGCCAATTTTCCAAACCACAGGGGGCACCAGAGCCATTTGGCCTTAGTCTTACTGATTGTTTTCGAGTGTTATCTACTGTATTAGAATGTACTCCCTCGATTTCACTATCTTTATTTAATTTTATTTTTTTACTCAATTAGACAAACTTTGAGTTTTATTTATATAAAAAAACAAAATGTACTTTAACATAAAAATGAGTTTCTTAGATTTGTCATATTGAGAGTAGTTAGAGTCAATGGCGAGTAGTTAGAGTCAATGGCATCATTATCCTAATATACAATACAATTTGAGAGTAGTTAGAGTCAATGACAAATCCAGAAAAAGAAGTCACTCAGGGTAGACCTTCTTAAAAATTGGGGACACTCTTATAAATTATCAATTTATTTTTAAATATTATACTGCATAAAAAAAATCACTAAGGGCGTGTGCCCCTAGTGAGAGCGGCTGGATCCGCCACTAGTTAGAGTTGAACGTTTGTCCAGATTGGCTCGAAAAAAGTCAAAGTAGACAAATACACATGGACGGAGGTAGAAATATCTATTTATATTTTTCTCAAATTAATGACACATAAATAGTCAATGTCTCTGCTTTTGCTGGGAGTGAACTTGTTCATAAATTCTGGGAATGAATTCCCTACCATTCAAGTAGAGGAAAAGTTCAGTCTCATTGCCTCTATTTGTTTTTATTTTATCAATTTAATGACACACAAAATCAATGTTTAAGCCTCCGTCAGATCTAAATGAACTTTTCTATGAATTTTGGGAAGTGGTCATCATGACAAAGAAGAAATTCATCAGAATTGATACTTAGTTTTAACTTTTAAGGCAAATACTTTGATCTAAATTTAGGTTTATCTTAATAAAAGAGAGATGTTTAGTACATCCCATCTTAATTTTCTCATCTTTATTTGCATCATTTTTGAACCGCGAAGTATTTCTTCCAAGGTACTCCCTCCGTCCTACAATGATCTTCCCGATTCATAAAACGAAGAAAAATTCCAAGTTTTTTCAATCTATTTTATTTAAATATTGGTATAAAAATAAAAAATAAAACATACATATTTAAAAACTACACCAAAAGTTCAACAAAACAAGTGGTGACAAGAATATTTTATTTTATCATATAGGCCATGAAAAAACACAAATAAATATAAATTTCTGTGAAGTTGGAATAATGCTTTGGAAAGATCATTATAGGATAGATGGAGTAATTTATTTTGTCATATTTTTTTGAGAACTTGTCATATCTAATTAGTGCCACACTATGAAAAGTAATAGAGAAAAAAACTATGTGATCAAAATTTACTTTCATGGTTTCACCGTTTGAAAAAAATTCTAACTTTATTTTTGTGCATGGGAGAGAATACTTCTATACCCATTTGAACGCTTCTATTTCCACCTAAAATGTTTAAATTACACTCTATTTCTTGTTTATTATGAGTATAAATTTTTTTTCTTTTAAATTAAACATGTTCAATTTCTATTTTGTTTTGCTATAAAAAGCAACAGCACAAAATTTGCACAAAAAATAAATTTTTTTGAAAATGTGTCATATGAAGCATTATATTAAAAATGTAAAGAAAGCAAAAAATAAGTTTTGTATAATTATATTTTTCACGGTAAGAAATAAAACCAAAAAAAATTACAAAGTACTCCCTCCGTTCTCAAATAAAGTTTCCTTTTTGACTTTTTGAGGATTTAAGGGAGAGATATTTTTGTGTTGACTTTCCAAAAATATCCTTGATGTGATGCGTAAAAGTAAGATGTGATATGTAGATTATTAGTACTCCCTTCGTCCCAAATTATCTGTCACATTTCTATTACCGAGGCAAAATATCAAGTTTTTTCAATTCATTTTATTTACATATTGGTAAAGAAATAAAAAATAAAAATTACATATCAAAAAACTATATGAAAACTTCTTCGAAATAAGAGGTGTCAATAATATTTTATTTTATCAAATAACTAATGAAAACATAGAAGCAAACAAAAGTTTCCGCGACAGTTGAAAAAGCAAATGTGGCAAATAGTTTGGGATGGAGGGATTAAAAAGGTATGATGTGATAGGTAGAGTATAAAAAAATAAGGGGTAAAAGTGGTTTTTTAATAGATAAAGAAAGTTCTTTTAGGGACAAAGAAAAAAATGAAAAGGGAAGTTCTTTCGGAGATGGAGGGAGTATAAAACAAAGAAATAAATTATTTAATTTCTTTTAGTACTATTGACTCTATAAATTGAAAAGATAAAATTGAATTTGAGTAGAAATAAGTAAATATTAAATAAAATTGTAATCATTACGATGGAAGTGGTGCAGTATGGGTATGAAAGCCCCGTTCTGTTCAACTTATTTTTTCTTATTCTTATTAAAATCAGATCAGATTGAATCAGATCAGACCAGATCCAATCAGATCATATTAGATTAGATCCAAAATGATCAGACAAGAATTATTATTATTATTATTATTATTATTCTTAAAAATGAAAAAGAATAAACTTTAGAAACAAGTTAAATAGAAAACTGAAAAAGTAATCGTTAATTATTAGACGTTGGAAAATTATTTTTAAAATACATTGACAATGTCAATCTTTTTTTGAAACAAGACAATGTCAATCTAGTTCTACTTTTAAAATACATTTTTATTGGTACCTGTAATTTGAGTTTCTAAAGTTTTGATATTTTATAAGGATGAAATATTTTAATAAAAATATTATCTCTTCTCTATATTGATTATCTAAATTTAATTATTTTTTAATGTATATATAAATTAAATATTTATTCTAATGTGTATATGAACTAATTATTAAAATATTAAATCAATATTCTTATTTCACAAAAAAATAATCATAAAATACAAAATATTATTACACTATAATATGAATGATTATTCTAATATATGAATTAACTAATTCTATTTTATTCGAATATAATCATAAAATAAAATATATTGATTATATTATAATATGAGATTTGAATTATAAAGTCAAATCAAATTATTGATTTAAATTTTAAATCAAATAATAATTAATCAAATCAGTTCAGACTAGATTAGATGGCTATAAATAGAGGGGTAGGGTAAGCCAACAAACCACAAAAACCGCATTAATTCCTTACTCAGTGGCACCCGACCACTCTGATTATCAGTGGCAACTTATATACGGAGTATACAACGTCAACAAGACCAGATTATGTACCCAGTGTCTGTCATTCTCTCCTCAACAAAATCCACCAAAGGAGTGAGTGAAAGGTAAAATTCTTTCTGTGCTTCAATCTCTTCGCAGACGACAATCAAACTTTCAACTCTGTTCGTGCATATACAGATACACTGCCACACTTTTGCGAGCTTATGTTGTTCTTTGCGTTGCCCCCTCATCATAATACTTGCAAGATTTCTAATTCTATCTTCTGCTGGTGCTTTTTTTTCATGATTTCAACACCCCTTTTTCAGTGTTCCCAGCTGAAATTATAACATTAATTCTTTTTACATGTTACGGAGTAGCTAGCAAGATTGTAAAGAAAAAGAATTGAAAGGCGGCACAGAGTGCCCGGTACAATGATTCAAAACATGTACCTCATTTCAAAAGTCAATTTATGCTCTGGGTTGGAATCTATTGCAAAAAGTTTTTTTTTAACAAAAATCTTTTTCGTTTTCATTTGAAAAAAAAGGGTTTACTTTCCTTTTTGATGGGTCTGGCCTTTAATGATTTTCATGAAGTTATGATGCACCTGCTTCAATGCTAGGAATCATACTCCGTATATTTCTGGTTTTTTTCTGGTTTGTTTTTTATATGGGGCTAAGTCAACAGGCTTTTAAAGGGTATTTTGATGATAGTTCTGATTTATGATTTGTGCAGAAGACTCAGATCTTAAGGGGCAGAAGGGTGGGTGTTGATAAAGGGGGCTAAAAATGGCTTTGAAGCCACTGGAATGGTATTGTCAGCCAGTGAAGAATGGGGTATGGTCAAAGGCTGTGGAGAATGCTTTCGGAGCTTATACCCCGTGTGCGACGGACTCTTTAGTGATATCTGTTTCTCATCTTGTGATTTTGGTACTATGCCTGTACCGGATATGGAGGACAACAAAGGATTTCACAGTCCAGAGATTTTGTCTCAAGTCTAAATACTATAACTATGTGCTGGGTTTGCTGGCGGCTTATTGCACGTGTGAGCCCTTATATAGATTGATCATGGGAATCTCAATATTGAATGTCGATGGAGAGCACGGTATTGCTCCGTACGAGGTATCTGCTTCCTGTTTCTTGATATGCTGTTTGAATTTGTCCCACATCCGAAAATACCTAATGCATATGTATATGGTTTTTGCCTGTGCATTGTATGGTTTCCCTATGAATTTCTCATAAACTTTGCTGTCACTAGTAAAGTCTCCATCATCATCATCATATGCACCTAAATCCCAACAAGTTGGGCTCAACAACACTAAACTTGTAATGCGAATTAATTGTGAAAATTAAACAACACCATCAATTCATGCTAAAAGCATAGTGGTAAACTGGTAATGTTTTATTGTTTTACACCGGAGGCCCTTTTTAAACCTTCATAAGAAGGATTTATGGTTTGAAGATTCTGAAACTGCCACCACCACCAGCATAAGGTATCTCCACATTCATGGGAAATGTCATGAGATGTCAATGAGTTGAGAACTTGATATATATATTCCATTGTAATATCCATTACATGATTGATATTATGAGTCCTACACACAAACCGAATACCACAGTACTCTCTCCGGTCCTTAATATGTTTTCTCCAGCTTGTAAACTAACATAAAATGCAATAATATACACCTTATGATTTAATTACAGCACACATTTACAAGCCTTAATTTCTCCCCAAATAACTCAGCTATCCCTTACATTAAGGAGTTGAGGGAGTATGTGATATGTGATTTTTTTTCCATTAATGGTGATTCTCAAACTTTTGCAATTTAGATGACTTCCTTAATCGTTGAAGCTCTTGCATGGTTCTCTATGGTGGTGATGATTGGGCTAGAAACAAAAATCTACATCCGAGAGCTTAGGTGGTCTGTTAGGTTTGGAGTAATTTATGCCTTAGTAGGGGATGCTGTGATGTACAACCTCATAATTTCTGTTGAAGAATTTTACCAGAGGTAGGTATCTTCCACTATTTATTGGGCCTCTGTTAAGCCTGTTTTTTTAATTTACAAAAGTGAGATCATTAAGGAAGTTCTATATCCTTACCCTTGGTGCATGAGATTTACGGGATTTACTACTCAAAGCGTTATAGAAACTAAGAAGCAAAGAAAGTTTAATGTGCCATTTGTATTAAGTCTACTATTTACCCAAAGCTAAGAGTCTAATGCGTCGTCAATAATGACTAAAATTTGTTCTTTCTTTACTTTCTGTGCAGGTCTGTACTGTATTTGTATGCTAGTGAGATTGCGGTCCAGGTGTGTTGATCTTTTCTCTTCTGTCTAGTGTCCACACGATTCTATCCTCTGTGGTTGTCATCAAATTTGAATGAAGCCCATTCTACTAAACTATTAACTATTGGCTGTCAAAAAAATTTAACTATTGACTTAACCAAAATTGAAAGTAGCCATCTATTGGTGCTAGTTACATGGAGCAGCAATATCCGCAGATGTTTGATGCTATTTAGGAGACAGTATTCACTTTTTTGCACTCACCTTGGTCAACTAATTTGAGCAGTTTTCATATATTAGAACTTGGCATTCAAAATCACGTGCCAAGCAGAACCAGTGTGTTGACAATCGACACAATCATACAGTTGCACAGGCCATCTTAGTGCTCTCCAAAAGTTTTAGTTTTTGTGTGTGTGTGTGTGTGTGTGTATAATTGTGTATACAAATAACTAATATGTTATGCTGAAATTTGAAGAAAAAAACTAGAAAATGTTCCACGCGAACAACATTTTAGAATCTCTAAACTCTAAAGCAGATTAAGTTGGTAATAAATGAAATGTTACTAACTCCATGTTGGAAAGTATTAGTTCCATTTGATATTGCTAAACATGAATTTTCCCATGTCCCGACTAGGTTACACTGGTGTTTAAAAATGGTTGGATGCAAAATAGTTGAGATAATGGATTTTTCCTCGATATAGGTCATATACCAAATGGACCTCATGAATTTTTGTTATATACTTATATCTCCGGGATGTTGCCTATTTACCTCTTCAAGAAAGAGTAAAGACATAAACTAGCTTTGCTTCTAAATAAAATCTCCAAATTAAAATTTTGTTGTTTGTTTAGGCATTGTTTGGAGTGCTCTTGCTCTTTTATGCCCCTGATTTGGATCCTTATCCGGGTTATTCTCCATTGCAAACGGAATCTATTGATAACACTGCATATGAAGAACTTCCTGAAGCAGAGCAGATTTGTCCTGAGAGGCATACCAACATATTGTCCAGTATGTATAGTTTATCTTCTATTGAATGGTTATTATGTCTTGTTTTACTGTTTTTTGTGAGGGTCCTCTTGAACAGAGTATGTAAATGTTTAATCTTCTTAGATAGCTTGGTCATATATCTAATTCCTAAAATAGGTGTAAGGCTTTCATAATTCATGTATGAAAATTCATATCATACCTATTAGGATATTTCCCACTTTCCTGAAGCAGTTTGCAGGAAATAAAGAACAAACATATGATATGTGATATGCCAACGAAAGTAATGCCCAACATTTCTGAAGTCTTAATTTCCTTGCAAACTCCTTTTTTCCCCTCTCATTTTTTGAGTACCACTGACTCTATTACAATTTAGTATTTGTTCATACATACTTTTTCAACCTGTTGAAGCGCATAGAGTCAAATGCCCCGCTGGGGTTCGAACTTGGGTGAGCTTCCCATCTAAAATTCTTAAGGGTGGTCCCCTTCCCACTCAAGCCAAGTGGGAAGCTCCCCTCTCATTAATTGAGTATTTCTGGCTAGGTGTAGATTGAAGTCACATTTAAATTTTTTTACTTCACATTGTTAAGGTACCTAATTTTTCTCCAAACTTAATTTTTCTCTATTTTCCATTGAAAGCTACCAAATATAACCTATTGATGCCTTGCCATGGCAGAACATTCACCTCCATATGGAGTCTCTTGTTGAAGAAGGGAGCAATTTAGCAAAAGCTGAATATTTATTTTGTATAACAAGCAAATGCATACGACATTCGTATATATACATTCACAAGGAAATTGCCCTTCGCCTACTTGAAGTCTTGAACTTTTAAAGTACACTGATAGAGGGTGCTTGGATGGTAACCGTCCAACCCTTTGTATTTTTGAACACACCCCTTCACCTAGAACACTACATCAAAAGCTTTAAGCAAGTTACAAATGCAATCAATCCTATGCTCTCCCAGATGCGTTGTTATGTATGAAAAATAAGTGCTCTCAATTTGTCTCCCGTGGGTGTGAGAGGCACCTTCAGCATTTCCAGTAAATGCCAAGTCTGCCCCAGGAGGTTGTTGCTCCTGAAGAATACAGAGCAGCTATAGGGTGGCTTGGCAGCCTTGGATTACAATCATATAGAAATTATAGTGTCTGTTGCAGTGTTTCTTTTGGTCATGTTCCACGATCTGCATGTCTGTTTTGCAATATCAATCATGTTAAGGGAACTGACAGTAACAAATATCTCAACTTATTGCCATCTCATAATATTTTCCATTTGTGTTGAAATAATCTACTCCCTCCGCCCCCAATATTTGTCCACTTTCAAAGTGGCACAAATACCAAGAAGGAAAGATAAAAGTGGGCAAAAGTCACAAATACCCTTAGAGTTGAAAAACAATGGTGTCGGGGACAACCTCACTGCCATCTACCCGTCACCCAAAACCAACCACCACCCGATGCCCAGTCCATCCCTAGCACGTCACCGCCCAACCCCTATTCTCAACAATATCCTTCATTATTCCTCACTAAAGTTCCATAAAAAACCCTTCAATTTCAAAATTATAAAAAAAGAGAGTAATTTTTTTAGATAGATTCAAAACATAATCGATTAGATCTGGATTTTGGAGCATGGCGGAGGACGAATCAGAGTGCGACAAAAGCCAGTTTTCCCTGAATTCTTGAATTGGTTCCCCAAATGATGAGGACAAATCTATAGGGTTTTGAATCACAAAAGATTACCGGGTTCCGTCTGTCAACCACTGAAAAAACAATTCCGCTGCCCCTAGCCCCAGGTTGCTGCCATCAAACCTTAGCTTAGTCATCCACTTCCCAATGCACTCAAAGTTTAAAACCAGAAAGATATCAAATAGAAGAAAGGAATAC